TCATTAAAATCCCGTTAATACATACTGCCGCGATGTAATCCAAAATACTCCCTGTCTCAGGCCATTGTTCAGTTCTCATGTAATGTGTTATTAAGTGAAAGCCTAGATAAATAGCGGCAATGGAAGTTTTTTGCTAATCAACTCGCTTATTCCCAAGTCTGATATGGTAATGACAACTAGCGATACAAAGATCTGCGTCTTTTCAATGATTAATTATATATATATATATATATATATATATATATATATATATATATATATATATATATATATATATTTATATATATATATATATATTTTTTTTTTTGATTTTTTTTTTTTTTACAGCATATTAACCTTAATGGGTTATTTAATGCTGACAATTTTTTTTTTTTTATTGCTGCTACTATTTTTTTTCAAACAGGTATTGCTAGTAATATTTTTCCTTCAAAAATCTATTTCTGATAATATCTTCTTCCAAAACGTATTGCTAGCAATACTTTTCTTTCAAAAATTTCCGACAATATTCCTTTTCGAAAATTATTGCTAGCAATATTCTTCCTTCAAAAAATCTCTTTCCGACAATATTCCTTTTCAAAAAGTATTGCTAGCAATACTTTTCTTTCAAAAATTTCCGACAAACTTTTCAAAAACTATTGCTAGCAATACTCTTCCTTCAAAAATTCTATTTCTGACAATTTTCCTTTTCAAAAGGTATTGCTAGAAATACTTTTCTTTCAAAAATTTCCGACAATATTCTTTTTCAAAATGTATTGCTAGCAATACTTTTCCTTCAAAGAGTCCGATTCCGACAATATTTCTTAAAAAGTATTGCTAGCAATACTTTACCTTCAAAAAATCTATTTCCGACAATATTCCTTTACAAATAGTATTGTTGTTAAAAAATTTTTTGCCTAAAATGCAATGCTGATAATAATTTTTTTTACAAAGTATTTCTGGTATTAAGACCTATTTTTACACTTTAATAGTATTTTGACCCCAGTTTGGGGGGTTAACTATTTACCTATATCTGGGACCCTAACAGGTACTACCACGTCGGGTCAGGGTGGACCTGGGAATACCAGCAATTAACAGGTAGTTCCACGCTCCCCAGAACCTCCTGATCAGAGGCCTTGCTGCCGGATGTAGTTTAACGTCTTACCCAGGACGGACCTATGTTGCATAGATGAGGTAAAAGTTTTTGATAAATTTCGACACAAAAATAGTTTTAACTTTTATGTAAACTTGATATACAGAGTGTCTCAAAAAAGTATATTTTGGAGCTTTCTCAAGAAATAATTCAAGCAACGAGGACAAATCGAATTTAAATAATGCATAGGAAGGGAGTGTTTATTAAAAATGAATGTTCTTAAGATTTTGTCATCGCATGTTTTCAAGCTGATGTCTGTTAAGATCCCGACATTTCTAACAACGCGATGCAATGGAATCACAAGAAGCAATCAACATTTCGATAGGTATTTGTTGCATAATTATGGAAAATAAAGCATAATAAATATTTTTTAAAAAATCCATATTACAAACAAAAAAGTTTGCGGTTTCTGTCTTCTTTTTAATATATACACTTTTCTCTCGTTGTAACAATTATAACCTCTTCCCTTTATAAACACACACACACACACACACACACACACACACACACACATATATATATATATATATATATATATATATACATGCATATATCTATATGAACGTATAAAATACACATACATGTATATAGAAGTTGTCTAAAAAATGTAGAAACATGTTCAATCTTTTTCAAGAAATAATTCGAGCTACTAGGACCAATTTAAATAATGCATATGAAGACAGTCTTTATTAAAAATGCATGTTCTTAAGATTTTGTCATCGCATGCTTTCAGACTGATGTCTTTTATGACCCAGACTTTGCTGACATCGCGACGCAATGGAATCACAAGAAGCAGTCAACATTTCAAATTTGGCTCTATTCTTGGTCTATTCTATCGAAACTAATTTCAGCAATTGTTGTTGGGTTTGTAGCGTAGACTTTACATTTGAATTATCCCCATAAGAAAAAAAATGATGAGGTACGCCGACAGAGGAGGATATACTACAGAACCTCGTCTTGCGAGTTCTCTGTTTTTGCAAGATTTTATTCAAATGCAATTATATATCAAGCTGGTAATGAGGTGGTGCTCCATCTTGCTGGAAATAAAATTCCTTATCTATCTATCTATCTATCTATCTATCTATCTATTCCATCACCCATTGCGAGATGGCATCTGCTGATTATGAGAAGAGTCTATTAAACTGTTGATAATGGGCCTGACCCACAGTTAGGCGCGAAATAGGATTTCGAGTGCCAACTTGAGACATCAACAAAAATATGGAGCGATGAGATGTATCTTCAGCCCACTCAAGAACAGACATGCTGGCCACAAACTAACCTGAATAATGCGAAGAAAATGCAGCTATTATAAACAGAATATGAACAGCATTCATATATGCGTATCATCTATTTCACACAGATGTGTACTGGATTTCGTCATCGATGCTTTTACTTCTAAAAGAATACGTTTTTAGCAATCCTTTATTCTCTTTCACGTTATGAACAACCTCCTCACAGATGAAGAAATGGTTTGAGGCAAGAGGTTCTACAGAAAGTGAGAATATCATGGACTGAACATGTGAGTAACAGTGAAGTTTTAAGAAAAATGAAACAAAAAGTAAACTTATATATAGAATTGGAGCCTTCAGTTTTGAACAAATCGGGCTCGTACCTGTTTGAGCAAATAGGGGCGCGTATCTCCCTATTGCTCACATCTGGGGTTGTCCCTTTGAGTTACATATGCCATCGTTCCTATCTGTCACATCTGGAGTCTTCATTCTTGCTCCCATCTGGAGGATACCGTCTTGCTATCATCTGGGATCGTCTGTATTACTCACTTTTGGAATCTTCCCTTTTGTTGACATCTGGTAACGTCTTTATGTTTCACATCTGAGATCGTCCCTATTTCTGTAGCCGTCCGTCTTGCTCTCATCAGGACGCGTACCTCTTAGAATCTTCACTATTGCTCACCTTTTGCTCTTGTTCTTGTAGAACAATGTTACAAATTGTAGAAAAATGGATATCATTAAAAAAAAAAACAATTCGGCACAAATCTGGCTCACACAGAAATGAATTCATTTTATTACACGGACCGGCTCCAAAAACTTGAATTTCTATATTCATATATATTAACCAATTAGCGTGTCTACAGTTCTTGACAACAGTGGCCTCATAGTCCTCAGGGTGACTACAGGACCTGAAAATTGTGTTCGTATACGTTTGAGGGCGTTTCCGTTCCTTGAGAGTCGTAGCCACATATTCCTTGGGCAGTCTAGCGACTTGAGAGCCATGGCTCTATAGTCCTCGGGACGTGAGTGCTGTGGGGCTTGAGAACTGTGACCTGAAAATTGTGTCCGTATACTTTTGACGGTGTGTGCGTTACCTGAGAGCCGTAGCCCCATAGACAGTCTAGTGACTTGAGAGCCATGGCTCCATAGTCCTCGGGACGTGAGTGCTGTGGGGCTTGAGAACTGTGACCTGAAAATTGTGTCCGTATACTTTTGACGGTGTGTGCGTTATTTGAGTGTAGCCCCATAGACAGTCTAGTGACTTGAGAGCCATGGCTCCATAGTCCTCAGGACGTGAGTGCTGTGGGGCTTGAGAACTGTGACCTGAAAATTGTGTCCGTATACTTTTGACGGTGTGTGCGTTATTTGAGAGCGTGGCCCCATAGACAGTCTTGACTTGAGGCCATGGCTCCATAGTCCTCAGGACGTGAGTGCTGTGGGGCTTGAGAACTGTGACCTGAAAATTGTGTCCGTATACTTTTGGCGTGTGTGCGTTACTTGAGAGCCGTAGCCCATAGACAGTCTAGTGACTTGAGAGCCATGGCTCCATAGGTCCTCAGGACGTGAGTGCTGTGGGGCTTGAGAACTGTGACCTGAAAAATTGTGTCCGTATACTTTTGACGGTGTGTGCGTTACTTGAGAGCCAGCCCCATAGACAGTCTAGTGACTTGAGCCATGGCTCCATAGTCCTCAGGACGTAGTGCTGTGGGGCTTGGAACTGTGACCTGAAAATTGTTCCATATACTTTTGACGGTGTGTGCGCTTGAGAGCCGTAGCCCCATAGACAGTCTGTGCTTGAGAGCCATGGCTCCATGAAGCCTGTGGGGCTTGAGTCTGAAAAATGTGTCCATATACTTTTGACGGTGTGTGCGTATTTTGAGAGCCGTAGCCCCATAGACAGTCTAGTGACTTGAGAGCCATGGCTCCATAGTCCTCGGGACGTGAGTGCTGTGGGGCTTGAGAACTGTGACCTGAAAATTGTGTCCGTATACTTTTGACGGTGTGTGCGTTACTTGAGAGTCGTAGCACCAATGACAGTCTAGTGGCTTGCGAGCCATGGCTCTATAGACCTCGGGGCGTGAGAGCTGTGGTTCTCGAAGAATCAGTGAGGAATATGTATATGTTGAATCCAGAGATCTCAAGTCCCATAGACACGCTAAGGACGTTGAATCCACAGCTCTCAAGTCTCGTAGACACGCTGAGGACGTTAAATCCACAGATCTCACGTCCCGTAGACACGCTGAGGACGTTGAATCCACAGCTCTCAAGTCCCGTAGACACGCTGAGGACGTTGATTACACAGCTCTCACGTCTCGTAGACACGGTGAGGACGTTGAATCCACACCTCTCTAGTCCCGTAGACACGCTGAAGACGTTGAACCCAAAGCTCTCAAGTCTCCTAGACACGCTGAGGGCGTTGAATCCACTGGTCTCCAATCCCTTAGAGAAGCTGAGAACGTTGAATCGACAGCTCTAATGTCTCGTAGACACGCTGAGGACGTTGAATCCACAGTTCTCAAGTCTCGTAGACACGGTGAGGACGTTGAATCCACAGCTCTCAAGTCCCCTAGACACGCTGATGTCGTTGAATTCACAGCTCTCAAGTCCCGTAGAAATCTAAGGTCGTTGAAACCACAGCTCGCATGTCCCGTAGACACGCTGAGGACGTTGAATCCACAGCTCTCTATTACATTAGACCCGCTGAGGATGTTGAATTCACAGCTCTCAAGTCCCGTAGAAATCTAAGGACGTTGAAACCACAGCTCGCATGTCCCGTAGACACGCTGAGGGCGTTGAATCCACAGCTCTCACATCCCGTAGACACGCTGAGGACGTTGAATCCACAGCTCTCACATCCCGTAGACCCGCTGAGGAGGTTGAATCCACAGCTCTCAATTCCCGTAGAAAAGCTGAAGACGTTGAATCCACGGCTCTCACGTCCCGTAGACACGCTGAGAACGTTGATTACACAGCTTTCAAATCTCGTAGACACGCCGAGGACGTTGAATCCACAGCTCTTGAGAGCTGTTGATTCAACGTTCTCAGCGTGTCTACGAAACTGTGGCTACATAATCCGCAATGAGGTTACGGAACTTGAGAGTTTTGGCCCTCAGGAAGTTACTGGACTTGAGAGATATCGGTCCATAGTCCTCCACTCCAGTAAGTTCCTGAGGGCCAAAGCTCTCAAGTTCCGTAACCTCATTGCGGATTATGTAGCCACAGCTCTTAATGCCCCGTACACTCCACTGATGACTATAAGGCAACAGCTCTCAGGTTCCGTGGGATCCCTGAGCAGTATGTTGTCACACTTCTCATGCCCCTTACACTCGCTGAAGATTATAGTGCTACAGTTCTCCAGTGCTATAGCCTCCCTGGGGTCTATTGAGCCATAGCTCTCAAATCCCGTATATTCCCTGAGGAGTATGGGGCCACAGCGGTCTAGAATCTTCCTGAAGACTATAGATCTGCTGCTCTCAAGGTAGGTAGACTCCCTGAAGAGTATAGAGTATAGAGCCACAGCTCTCAAGTCCAGTAAACTCTCTGATAAATTGGGAGCCACATCTCATGTCACGTTGACTCTCTGAGGAATATAGGGCGAAATATCGCAAAACTCGTACACTCAGTGGTATGTAGCCACAGATTTCAAATCCCGTTGCCTCCCTGAGGAGTACGATGCTTCAATCTCAAGTCCCATAGACTATATGAAGAGTATAAAGCCTCAGAGCTCAAGTCACGTTGACTAAAGTGCTATAATACCACAGCACTTATGAGACGTAGATTCCCTTTGGAGTATGTGGCCACAGTTCTCAATTCCGGTATACTCTCTGAAAATAATGAAGCCACAGTCTTCAATTGTGAGAGACTCACTGCGGAGGATAGGACTATATCTCTCAAGTCCAGTAGAGTACCTGAGAACTAAGGAGCCACAGTTCTAAAGTACCGTAGACTACCGGAGTAATTATGAGGTCACAGATCTTATGTCCATTAGCCACCTTGAGAATTATAGGGCCTCCGTTCTCAAAACCAGTAGGCTCTCCGATTATTGTAGGTCCACAGCTCTCATGTCACGTACATTCTTGTGAATTATAGGGCCTCCGATCTCAAAAGCCAGTAAGCTCTCCGATTATTGTAGGGCCACAGCTCTCATGTCACGCACATTCTTGAGGATTATAGGGCCTTCGATCTCAAAAGCCAGTAGGTTCTCCGATTATTGTAGGGCCACAGCTCTCATGTCACGTACATTCTTGAGAATTATAGGCCCTCCGATCGCAAAAGCCAGTAGGTTCTCCGATTATTGTAGGGCCACAGCTCTCATGTCACGTACATTCTTGAGGATTATAGGGCCTCGTCTCTCGTTTGCCGTAGACTCCCTGGGGAATATAAAGCCACAGCACCTAAATCCCGTATACTCCCTAAGGATTATATGGTCACAGTCCCGTAGATTCCCTGAGGAAGCTCTCATAACCTGCTGATTTCCTGAGTATTATAGGACCACAGCTCTAAAGTCCTGTAGACTCCCGGAAAAATATGGGGCCACACATATCGGCTCCCTGAGGACTATTGGCCCGCAAACTCCCCGAAACTATGGACCCGCAGGTTTCTCCTCCTTTAGACTCACTGAGGAGTATAGGTTCGCTGCTCTCACATCCCGTGGGTTCTCTGAGGTCTATGGAGCCACATTTCTCAAGTTTTTTGCCTCCCTGCGTACTAGGCAACCACAGCTCTCAATCCCACAGGCTCCTTAAAGAGTATAGTGCCACACCTCTCACCCCGTAACCTCAGGGACGGGAGCGTTACACAGTTTACAAGTTTCCGCAACAACCGACGGTTTTGTTCATTTCTTGAAGTTCATCTTCTGTGTTTTTAGTATTGTTGTAAACATAAGCGCGACCGAATTTGACTTTTATCTTGCCTGAATGGATAAATATTCAGCTGCATATTTATTCATTCAGGATGCCACACAAGAGAGCAGGAGGTGCAGCTATTCTTGTTTTGAAAGGAAGTTTGGTGTAAATAATAGGAAATACTTGTTTGAATTTTTTAATCACACGGTATTAGTTAGACGGGCGGCGGCAAGTGCAGAGTCAGTTCTTGTATTTCTCTCGTATTTCTTTATACCGGTTTGTAAATTGAGACGTTTTTTTTTTAAATTTCTTTCTTTAATTTCCGTAATTTTAATCTTGGTTCACATATGACTGGATTGTGGTTGATCCCGCAGTCGGCGGTTTTAAAATGTAGAACTATATTTCTGAATATTTTATTGGTTGTTATTTTATTTGATTCATTGTGTCTTCCACTGTGCTTTTCTGTTCGACAAGCGTCTTGCTTGTACTTGAAAAAGGTTATGGAAATTTACACACGCATGCATGAACTCTCCCAGCTATAAATAGGAGCAGGTACTGCCTTTTCGAGAGGGAAGTTTCCAGTAGCCAGCTCTGACAGACGAACCGAACATTCTTGCTGTAACTCTCTCGTTTGTATATGTTTGTATTACTGTTTCTGTTAATATACATGTTTAACTCAACTTGTGTCTTAATTTCTGGCCTTAATAAGGCCACAACAAAACAAGCTTTGGTTATTATTTGATTGTTCGCGAAACTCATTCGGAAATGTCGGCTGTATCCAATCGATTTTTTCAATCAACTGTTTAAAATGGCGTCGATTCAAGAAAGCATGTAGGTTTTAGTAAGGACCATCCTTATTCGAACCTTGCGGAATGGAGCTACACAATCACAAAGTGTACCAAATAACAGAAATCACAACATTTGAGAACTTTTGACGCCAGCATCAGCTAAAATGGATGGCACATGTAACTGGAAGAGAAAATAATTACATAATGAAGATGTTGACATTCCACGCGACTTCAAACAAAAGGTTAGGAAAGAAACCCCCATTCATTATTGGAAAGAACGATAACAACTACTAGACTTGAGAAAACGATTTTCTTGAAGAATTATTTGAAAATTTTAGATTTAGATTTGATGGGTTATTTTACCGACGTACCACGCCTGAAGGTCATTTCGCACCGAATCGGGTAGTTTTTAGAGTTGTGTTTATTTTGCACACGTTCTTTTATAAGCTGTTACTATATGAGGGTGGGGATGTAATTCGGTTTTAGCTGCATTTTGTAGTCTGGTGTTTATTCGGTTTCCTTTTTATATTTTGGGGTAGAGTTTTCTTATCTATAAGAATTCTTGGATGGCTTTGGGTTCGGCACTCTCAAAGAGAAAGATTGTATAAATTTCAACCGAAAGTAGAACTAATTCGGTCGGCCAATGAATAGCGAATGTTTTCCTTGTAAAGAAACGGTTAATAAAAAATAACGCTTTGAAGGAGTGAAGGCTGAGGGTCTGGCAAAGAGCATCCTTCTTTGAAAATTGTGGACTGACGCGACAGATTTACACTCAAAGAACTGTATCAAATAAAAGAAACCACATCACCTTAGGACGAACAACAGCAACCTAACTATTTATTAGATGTCATGGAGCCTCATAACCTGTGGTTTAATAACCGATGTTTGAATTTTCAATAGATATTTATCTTTCCCGCTCTTTTCTCTTGTTTTAAGAGAAATATTTTATAAACTTCAACCGAAAGCAGTACTGGCTGCTCGGTCAATGAATGCCAAATGTTTCCTTATAGGGAAACGGCTAATATTACAATTTCCACCTTTACTTGAAATTACTTTGATTACTGATACTAGCCTATACTTGGCAATTTTTTCACTGTCTCATTCGTTCCCTACATTAAAATTTATGTATCATATCATATTGATCATTTCTTGGGATTTGAAGTGCCCCCACTGGCGTTATCTAATGTGCTATAAAACATAACTGTTTTTTTTTTTTTTACATGCTTTGTGAATTTGGCGCGTATTATAGCTCTATTAAATGGCTTCCCTTTCAGTTGAACTTGAAGAACTCTGGTAGTTGTCAGTATCCCAGAACACATTTCTTCCTGTCTTGGACTAGTATTAATATTTTCAAACCAAACCTTTTTACGTGGTTCTATTTCATTTTCCCAGTCCTTCTTTAATGTTATCATCCACCGTAAGTATTTTTGGGAAGTAGGTAGGGCTGGTAACTTTTTCACTACCTTCCGTTATATAGTCACGTATTCCTATAGACTTTGTCATCTCTTTTTTATTTTTTAACGAAGTCTTTTACAGTTTTTTTTCTTCCTTACTTAATGATGTCTTTACACTTGACACCCACCTATATATATATATATATCTAAATATATGTAGATCCTATTTCGTAAACTGTGTCCCACCGCCCATGTGTGGAGGCGGAGGATTCTAATTACAGTCATGAATTTTTCTTTTTGTTATTTCAATTTTATTTTATTTTTGCATTTTGAATTCGAGATTAAAAGAAGATGGAGAGTCGACAGAGATGTTTTACAGACGCTAGTGCTTACAGACTCCTAATGAGTGTCTGGTTGCCAGAGTTCATTTCCTTCTACTATCAGAGATTTTACAAGTATATAGTACGCAAACTAACTCAAGAAAAGTTGGAAGAAAAGTGTCGTTTTTTTTTTCTACGATCATCCCACTAAGAATTGATGATCTAAGAGTGTATAGAAAAAAAAAACAATTGAATTTTAACCGTTTTCGTTTACGATTGTTTACAATGCCCAAGTGCCACTCAAGGTAGAGGGTTATTGAATGGTGATGTTGTAAGGGCCTATAGGGATGGATCAAGGGTTGTATATTATGTGGATATTTAGTACAGATAACAGTTGATCTTAGAAGTGAAGAGATTGTAGTGGTCAGGGAAGCACCCCGTCGGGTGTCCGTTCTACATTGCAAAAGTTCTGTGAAAGAAGCTGTCTGAATGGAACTTCCCGCTTACCAATGGAATATGAAGGGAATAATGAGGAATCGGCTCCTAACAGAAGAGCTGGACTGGTGGAACCCAGGAATATAGTTCACCCGAACATCTGCCATGGAAATAGCGATGCAAAAACCTGTCTGAGATTCTGGGTTGAGAAATATTTTCATTGCTTTGAACATTGTAATTAATTACTATTTAACACGGCGAATTTTGTGGTCGATATGCGTAGTCAGACCGGAAAGTATCTAGGCATTTTGAACATTTGGAGAATCGATGGCGCGGCCTGGTTGTTACATGACAACCAACAAGGGGTGATTTTACTGGGCATGTGTGATTTGTGGTCAATACACATCGTCTGTCCGGAAAGTATCCGGCCCATTTGAATATATTGACAATCGGTTGCGCAGCCTTGATCCTGATTGGCAACCAACCAGTGGGCATGCGTGAACAGACACGGTACCGTAGGATTATTCAGTAGACGATTACTCAGTGAGGCACGAAAGACAGAAAGAGAGGTCGTGTACTGTGTGGCATTATCATACATAATGTTCAAGCTA